GACACTAATTAAAGATTATGGTGGCTGGCCCATGGGTACCTATTACATGAGCCTCTCTTTCCAGCAAACTTGTTTGGTACAAGATAAAGCAGACATAGGGGGCTCCTTTTTTATTACTGGACCTACTAATTGAACTGGTTACTAAGCGATGATATGTATAAGAAATTGAACATACAGATATAAAAATTAAAAGGATAAAATGCAACTGTTTATAGGACATGGCTAGCAAGACCTCACCTGTATTAATTTTAAGTAAATATTTAACATCCTAATGAAATTCACAAGCAATCCTCATGGTGTTTTTGAGTCATCATTATCCTTTAGGAAAGCAGGGGATCAAGCAACATATTTAGGAGCTTCAGTACCTTTGATATTTGAAAATTAGGTCAGCTTTATTGCAGTATACCAGAAAGTAGGGCATTTCTTTTCCCTCTCCTTCCATGTTTCCTTGGGGAAGAACTACAAGGAAAAGTCAGTCAGACCCAAGCCAGAAGGAACTGATACAGATAATGATAAAGCATAGGAAACAAAAGAGCACAAAGAATTCTCTGCTGTTTTGAAAGGGCTAGTTCTAATTTGGGCTGATTAACCATTTTGCTCTCATTACCTCCTCTTTATTCTCTCCACCTGTTCTGCTCTAACCTGCCCACACATTCTTCCTGCTTTGCTGTTTTATTCCCTTCACTTTTCTTTCTTTCCATTTAAGTATATCACCTAACTTAAAGGCTGGCAACCTATAGCTCATGGACCAGTTCTAGCCCATGAAAACATTCAGTGAAGAAGTGAGGGAATACTGGAAGCACACTGGTGGGATACTGCCAAAAACTGATGCTCCTGTAGGGAGTCTGCACCACTCTACTGCATCCCTGGCTTTTCTTACCACTGAATCTACTGTTGTCCATTGCTACCAGCCATGACACTACAATGGGCGCAAGCAGCAGTGGCAGCTGCAGTAGAGTGGTGCAAGAGTGACTACCAGGTTAGGAAACGCTGGCTCAAGGCAACATTTGGTGGCATGCAGCAGCAGGGGGATGGCAAGGAAAGCAGCTGGGTCACAAGAAGGGCCCACCTTAGAGCCAAGTCACTTTACTTCAACTCAACCTTTGTAAAAGGTTGCTCACCCCTGGATTAACTAAATCTTCATCTCAAAAAGTAAAAAGAAACAACAACAAAACCCCCTGCAAAATATGATCACATTGCTCTGTGCTTGCGTGTAAGCTCTTATTGTATTGGTTTCACCTAAACACAAATATAAATCTTAAATTCTCTTCCTTTCTTGGTGTTCAAATTGTCAGGTGTCCCACTCCATGCCCACCATTTGTTTCATTCTTGAAGTCTGTGCCATTCTATTGAGTAAGAAGAGCAACTGAGATTAACACATCCATAAACCGTCTGTTCTCTTATGCACTCTCACTGAAACATTCTTCAACATAAAAATCTTTTGTAGGAGGCAAACTCCAGATCATAAGGCCACTATTATTAAACAGCTATCACCTATGTACCTTCATACATTCCCATGGGGTAATTTCCTACTCCAGATGCATATTTTGTGCCGTATCTTAATTCTAAAAATTCTTCTTTTTAGGACATACTCACTGGCATCGCAGTGCACAATATCCCCAAAGAACAGCCAGCTTACATGAATGGCTTGCTCTCTGTGGATGAAAAAACTGCCTAAGGTAATCTCACCCCAGGCATAAATGCGTTTTTCCATATTGGGTAACAACTTACCCCAAGCCCATATTAATGCATTACCCCAGTGCAATTTCTGTATAAATGACAGGCCTAGACCTGTTTGGCCACTCTGGGTGGATGCATCTGAAAGGTCAGCATTCATTCACACCTCATTCATGTCCACTTCAGCTATCCATGGTAACTAATGGAAGGCCATCCTCCACTCTGCTTTTGCAGAAGATGCAGTAATCCCTTTTGCTAACCACTTTGTTTGCAGGCAGCAAGGTCATCAAAACACCCTGCCCTTTGCCAAAAACAAAACAAAATACAACCCCTCCAACCCCCCAACCCATTGTCACACCCAAATTCACCTCTGCTCTCTTTTCTCATGGCGAAACTCTGCCTCACCTGCCCCTTTCATAACACGAAGTAGCTTGCCCTGCCTTTGCTATAAGTGATGACAAGGAGCAAAGGGACAGCAGAGAAGAAACAGAACAACTTCATACTGCAATACAGCATACACTATAGAGTCCTCTTCAATGATTAGGGCTTGACACCCCCCACCACCCCATGCCCCTTTCACCTGCTCTCAATGAGCCCCTGTGTGTGGTTTCCAAACAGTATCCACCCACATTTGGCTTTCTTGCAAAGGGTGGATGCTAGTCTCTGGCTCCTCTGCCCAGGAGGAGGGTGCTGCCATAGGGCACAGTGGAATTGCTTCTGTGTCAGCATAGGTGGACAGGCTTGTCTTTGATTGTTATTTATATGCATTTAGCAGTAATTAATTTTCTTTTTTTCTGCAGTCCACGATGAGAAGGCAGTACATATTCAGAGCTGAAGCCTGTTTTGCACAGGTAACTGGGGAAGAAAGCGACTATCCACTGATGAAATGCTATCCCAAGGCAGTGAGGATGCTGACTTTGTTCCAGACATGGGAAACTGTTCAGAGCAAGAAAACCATGTGCCTATGGAAGCTTCATCCAGCTCAGGTGAGGAGCTGACGCCAGAAGCAGAAGCGATGCCAACACTTCCAGTGGGAAAGGGAAGAGGACCAGCCCAGGGTCGCTGTGGAAGGCCAAGGTGAGCTACAGCAGGACGTGAAGCAGAACCACTGCCACCACCCCCAGAAAGCATTGCAGATGACGACACCTTTAGAGGAAGGAATGGCAGAGCGTGGGAAAAAAGTTCACAGCTAATACATCAGAGAACAGGCAAGGACATAGTCCATGAAAGTGCTGGGCCAACAAGAGAAAGTAATAAAGACAGAGTGGTGGAAACGTTCCACCTGTTCCTCTTACAAGATATCCTGAGCGTTATCATAAGAGAAACAAAACAGAGAGAGGCAGAAAGAAGATTCAGGGAGTGGAATGACAGCCATCCTGAAAATAGAAAGGAGTAGAAAAAGCTGGATGAAACAGAGCTGAAAATCTACACTGGCCTTCTACTGCTGAGTGGTCTATACCATGGTGGTCATGAGGCACTGGAAGAGTTGTGGGAGAAACGCACCAGGCATCCTTGCTTCTGTGCCACCATGAGTTTAAATGATTCTGTCAAATCGCCAGCTACCTGAGATCTGACAACAAACTGACATGTGAGGAAAGGAGAGCTGTGGATAAGCTTGCTGCCTTCAGAGATATTTGGACACAAGTTGTGGAGCAGCTCAGGAAGTGGCATATTCCAGGAATACACCTGATGGTTGATGAATAGCTCATTGTGTTCAGGGGTTGCTGTCCCTTCAGACAGTATATGCCCAACAAGCCTGCCAAATATGGCTTGAAAATTTGGTAGTGCTGTGATGCAGCAACATCATTCCCCTTGTTTGGAGACATCTGCCGAGGCAAGCAACCAGAAGCTCCACGCCAAGGTAATCTTGGTACCCAAGTCATTGATAAACTGGTTCATCCCTGGTACAAGACGGGAAGGAATACTGTGGGTGACAATTTCTTCAGAAAGACTGCTACAGCAGGACTTGACTGACTTATGAGGGTACGACTCAGAAAAACAAAGCTGATATTCCCAAACAAAATGCAAGCAAATTGAACAAGGGAAACATCCATTTTTGCTTTTGATGGGGAACTTGCCCTTGTTCCAAAGAAGTCCAAAGTTGTGCTGTTGCTGTCAAGCATGCACCAAGACCAGTCAGTGGGTGGAGAGTAAAGAAAGCTGGACATCAATGACTACAATAAAAATAAGGGTGGGGTGCATAATAACCTTGACCACTTAATCCGTATGACCATCTGCAGACGGAAAAATCAACAGGTGGCCAACAACACTATTTTTCAATATGCTGGATGTGGCTGCCATTTCCAGCCTCATCATTTGGCCAGGCCACAATGCAAACTGGAAGCAAAGATCACATTTAAGACGACAACACTTTTTTTTTTTTTTTTTTGCAGGAGCTTGCAGAACAGTTGATCAATGGACAAATAAAACGAAGAATGATGCATACATGTAATCTGTCTAAGTCTGTCAAGTCTGGTATGACTGCCCTAAATTACAAATTGCCACAACGCACCCCAGCAGAACCTTCTGCAAGTACGAGTGGATGTTGTGCTTTTTATCCAAGGACAGATGACATGGAAACACGGAAACAATAGTTCCATAATTTCTAGGGTCGGAAGGGACCCGAGAAGATCATCTAGTCC